TTTGTGATGATTTTTTACGAACAGATAGAGAGAAATATTAGAGGAATCTAGGTTATACTTGTAGTTTATCCGAGAAACATTGAAAAAAAACGAAAAATTGTCAAAATAAATGTTCGTTGACTATTTTAAATCTAAATAACGCAAAGTTAATAGATCCTGTCCCTGCGGAGCTGGGGAGAGTTCAAGTAAAGGAATACTGCTATTGTCTGTAAAACTGTTTATTGATTTACAGTGCAACTCTTTCGTCTCTTTATTTATAAACCGATTTTGCATACGACATTTCCTACTTATTTATCTTTCTTTATCTTCGTATAATTGCAATAATTCTATACATATACTTTTTTATAGCAGTGGGTGACAAACGAGCACACAGTCCACCTGATGGTAAGTGGATGCTGTAGTCCATTGACATCCACATTTATCCTCAAGAATCAAAATGCACATGCGTTATCACCCCTAGAGAGTAAGATGGAATACCTTATTTCCAGTAAAAAGGGTCTCCGGTTCTCTACACTTACCATACGAAACGTGGTATTTTGTGAGGCGTGGTCCTTCCCCGATCGAGTCGACCCATTTGTGCTACCACTACATACTACTAATATAACTGCAGTATGGCTCTACCATGTATAAAAAGTTAAATTAGTGATAATTACTTGAAATAAATAAGTAATAAGTCCTTTATTTCCCAAATATTTTTGTTTTATATACGTAAACTTATTAAAAGCACATGTGCATAACACTGTGTTAAATTTAGTGATTGAAAATTAAAACTCTCGCCTATATAAGTGTTATTTTTTATTAAAATTAAAAAAAAAAGATAATTTTAATAAAAAATAACACTTATATTATTTAGGTGCCTAGTAAATAGTTACGTCCCATTCCCAGTTATGTGACCTAAAACCTTTGACCGGGAAACAGAGAGGCTGCCGGCATTCGCTAAGCACGTGATTGTAACTAGAGCGAGTGTCGCATTACAGGAACCCATTAACGTAGGTGGATTCTTACAGAACGTCGGTGATACTGAAAACTATGTCAAAACCGTATAGCACTTAGTCAAACATCCTTTGCTTATAATATACGTAAATATATTTTATAGGTGTATATTTTTATATTTTACTAATAAACCACATACTGGCAGTGTAAGAATATTCTCTACCCCAAATCGTCCCGTAATGACGATGTGATCAGATGAGCAGCAGCATCGTCCTGATAACAACTGAAAACAATAAAAAAACTGTTGCCAATCCACCTGCCAAGCGTGCTAGATATGGCAGCCTTTGAGTCAATCTACTGCGAACGCCCGTGTTCAACAGTAGACTTTTATAGGCTGTAGTAGATGGATGGATATTTCAAATCCACCCAATTTTATCTGTGAGAAATTCCTTTGTTTGAAAGTGGATTTTTGATAGGTTATAATGAATAAATAAATAAATAAATATCTGTATCTGTCTGGCTAAAACTCAAAACGGCTCGAACTATTTTTATGAAATTTTGTGTGTGCATTTCAGGGGGTCCCGGAATGGCTTAAAACACAATTGGATCAGGTAGGTAAATCACCTGCGCAAAGCCGAGACGGATCGCTTGTTTTAATAAATATTGTGTACGATATAACATAAAAAAATTTAATACATGCATACATATTACACATACAAAATCGTAAACATAGAAGAAATCCATCTCTCCATTTCATGACGTGGGTGTCGTAAGAGACTTTTTTTATAGAAGAAGGGACAAAGAGAGTGCTTTAGAAAGGAGTAAGTTTTTTTGAAGTTGGAAATTTGGGGGGGGAGACATAGGAAACCCCAGAAAGATCTTATAGCTTCCGATAGATAGCAGTATAACGAACTGTTCTGTACTGTTTCCGCTAGGCGTAAAATATACAAGCCGGCGAATGAGAATAGCGTTAAAGGTTCGTAACATCTGATGCTATGATCACTAGCCCGCCGTATATATCTTTATAATTTTGATCTTGTATTATGAATTTTGATCTTGTATTAAATCTCTTATTCAAATAACTCAAGCGGTTTATAAAAAAGAAATAAAAAACTATATTTGACAATAACGACATTAAAAAAAACACAGAATTTAATATATAAACGAATGTATCACTCGATTAAAATAAAATAAAAATTCGTTACCTTTTTTTACCTTTTTTTTAGCTAGGTACATATGTACGTACGTTACCCTTTTAGCAAATGAGTTGATGAATGTACGTCAATATTATCTATCTGTTATGTTGATAAATATTGAAAGGTGTTGCGGTGTTAATTAATTATATTCGTATTGGTTTGGTCAATTGAAATAAAACCATAATATTATAATAGTGCAGAATACTACCGATATTACATTAAGTATTTAGTCAAATAACAATTAATTAAATTAAAAGTACTTAGATTATCTACAACAATGACTAAGAAGAATTAAAAAATCATGTGTGGTGACGTCTCCTAAGTACATAAAGTCACTACAAATTCATTACCCCTTTTTATCTCATAGGTGTTATATGAGACAAATTTGGGAAATGCATAAAAAGGGCAGCTTCATAGGTGCAATACATCTGGTACTGTGGTTGCCAGTATCAACCCCCTCCATGATGGGTGGGACCTATGTTTGGTAGTAGACGGACCGATGAAGAATAATGAATAAAAAATTTCAATACTATGTTGTTGAAAATAAAAACATGCTTTAAAAACTTCAGTTTTTGATTTAATTATTGTCAAAAAAGTCCAATCAAAATTCATGAAATTCACAGACTTTTAGCAAAAATTTCGACTTAAATTCGTTTCTATTTAAGCTAAAAGATTAAATTTTCCTCTAATTAACGTCAGAGTGAAACCGAGCGCAACAAATAAACAATTACCACTAATTTCACAAGCGAAGTTATTTGATAAATTCTGTCCTTGAATATCAGTAAGCCGTTTTAAAATATTTGTGTATTTACGGATAATAATTAAATTTGATTTTCAGATTGAGCATTTTTAATTAGTTTATAGATAAAATGTAAAACAAAAATGTACAATTTCGAAGAGTTAGTTACAGAAATGTTAGAGGATTAAATTTACCATCAATATTTAGTAGAGTTTGAGAACAATTATACGTAATATTATGTATTTATATGAATACTGCCCCCATAATTAATAAATAATTATGTCAGGCCTAAGACGATTGAGTTTACTAAAACCTTTACCCAAACCGACTTAAAATAAAAGAAAGAAATTAGGTACAGGCAGAGAGATAGGTACAACGATCGCCAACGATTAGAAATATCTTAGCAGGGAACTACTGTTTATTACAATAATATTACAATATAAATAATAATAAAAAATTAAAAACTAAAAGATGATATTTGAAATTAAGACATTTTATCTTTTTATCGTTAAACCTTATCTAGTCCACTAATTAACAGAGATATTACCCAAAGAGTGTTACAAAACGGTCCTAAGTCATCGAATTCCTGCATGTGTTTTCAGACCGTGACTCCATTTCGTGGGGTTCTACTACTGGAATCGAGCGTTTTCCATAGTAGAAGGTTTTTTCAGTATTTATTAATATAATTAGGGGTATATATGTAGTTAAATTGATTCCACAATCTTCATCCTATAACACAATCAGTTTTCCTATTCAATTTTTCCATAGCAACTGAATGAAAATATTATAAACAAAATTCAAAAATTATTTTTCGATTTTTGTAAAATCACGTCAATTATTTCAGACACACGCTTCAAATGAAATTTAAAAATTTAATATAGTTTTATTACATTTGTTATCCATATTTTATTATATTTAAATGTGGATTTTAAATAAACGCAACGTGAAATAAACGTGAGTAATCATGTTTATATTATTTGTAATTTATATATCAGTATTATTAGATTGAATGAAAAATAAGGTAAAATTAAACGCAATATATATATATATATATATATATATGGATATATATATATATAAAATGGAATGGAATTCAGTATAAAATGGAAGACAAAAATTAATAAAATTAAGAATTTAAATTCTTTTCAGCAATATTTTAATATTCCTCACATTCGTATTTTTTTTTAAATTCAGAATCAATCACAGTATATTTTTTACTAAAACATGCCAGCGACTTCAAAAACAAAATGATCATAATAGCCGTGAGCGGTAGCCGAGGAAGCTCAGGTGAACCCTCCCACGCTACCACGTAGCGAGCCGTGACAGTTTAGTGGCTAAACTCTCGGAAAAAAAATTATACTAAGCGATATACCCAAGGTTGTATCTTGCTAGTACTAATGAAAATATTGTTAATTACAATTTTCTGTGCAGATTTACTGCACACTCCATAGCGAAAGACAATATTACAAAAGAACTTCCTGCAAACACACTTGCACCTGTATTGAAACAGAGCGTCGAACTATTTCTCTAAGACTCTACCAGAAATGAGAAAAACAATCGGTTCCAAAAAAATACACTTACTTCGTGTAACTATTTGGAACCTCTTGTGATATTTAAATGAAAAAAAGTGATCCCAGGTCTATTTTTTAAACTACATTAGTGTTGCTGCAGACATGATGAAATCAATGATTTAACTACTCAGAATTATGATTCAAGAAAAAAAATTTGCTATTTATTCATTGCATCAAACAAATATTATGTTTACTTAAAATTAAAACTATTTTAGAGAATGGAACGGACAATTTAGGCAAAACTAACAACAAAATATTTTTGATTTCAAATAAATGGCTGTGATGATATATAATTTCATATATGTAATATCATTGCATGAAATGAAGATTAAATAGTATGTCAAGTAGTGCAGATCGATGTCACATTAAAATAGGTCAAAATAAGCATCCTCATCATAATAACCCTCATTAGCAAACAACTTTTAAAAGTTTAATAAAGTTGGAACGAGTATGACGTGAGGCAAGTTTGTAAGTACATAAAACAATCAATGTGCTTGAAGCATGGTCACTAACCTGACTTCGCGCAACAGTGTGACTCGTGGCATCTTCAAATGCGAATACTTAAGCGGTGCGCGCTGAAATTTCGGCTGCACAATAAGCCACGCGGCAGCGCAACACGACACGATACGATCCGGTGCGGCGAAGCACGATCCAACTCGGCTTGAGCGGCTTGGCGCGTTGGGCGAGGCTCTCCTCGCTCGGCACACGGGCGGCCAGCGCGGGACGCGAGGCTGACTGGCCCGGGCGGGCTACCGCGCCGCCGCGTTTCATTGCCCTAAATTCGCGCTACACCAGCGGCACAATAATTGTCGTAGCGCTGCAGCCACGACGGCCGCACAGCCTATCGATTCACCAACGTACGTTTCGTGAAAGTAAAAAGTTAACTCGATCGAATACAATGCGGTCAAAGCTGCTCTGTGGAAAACGCGATCCTTCAGTTTTCTAGGTCACAAAATAGCTTTTAAAGTTAATATCGATTATTTTCCGCGACGCTATGAGCTTATAAATAAACTTACTTAATGATAGACGAAGACATTACAACATGTTATTTTCTAGGGAAACTCCTGCGTTATAAATAAGTTACACATATACATAGTAAGTTTTAGTTTCTGTTTTAACTTTTTTTTAAATCTTAATGCAAAGAGCAATTGATAGCCTATTATTACACCTTTTTTTATAAATTCGAAGTGACGTGAAAAACGAAGTGAAGGAGGAGACTATAACGTTGTTATATTCTCTATTCTCCACAAAAGCATGACTGAAATCTCATACAGTAACGTGTACAGAGATAAAATTTAAAGATATTATACATAATTATAATAATATACATAATGACGTTATGCTACAAAAGATTAAAAATGGGTTGAAAAAATTATCTTATTTATTTAATATTATACGGAATTTAACAAGCAGATAGAAGACATCAATTAAAAAGCACAAAGAAAAAATGCAGAATAGTTTAATGACGTCTACAGGTAACGTGTCGTAATATCTAATGTACGTCAGTAACGCCATGCTACGAGCTACGACGCGCGCTACGCGCGCATCCTCGTAAGCTTTACGTTTAGGATAAAGATTTTAAATGTCTGGCTTATTAAATGTGTATATGGTATATGTATAATGTGTTCGTCTGTGACTCATCTGTCATCCGGATGAAGAAAAAGAAAGAAATTGACAAAATTTTATCATTCATCTCTTCATATACAAAAATAGACAAGCCATGAAAACAGCACCAATGGTACGAAACATCTGGTACCACGGTAACTATTCACCTTCTAGGTCTGGCGATTACGTTAAATGCTTATGACTACTATGGATCCATTTCCAGGATTATAATGATAAGGATGAGGAAATAGTTGTCGTCGAGAAACAGTTAAAAGATAGAACATTACATAAATTCCAAGCGACGCCAAAACGCATGTTCTTAAACCATCTTCATCACTCTTTTGCTTGTGCGTGTGTGTGTGAATACTTAATTTCAAACGTAAATTAATGTAAAAAAATAAAAGATCAGTATGATTAAATGAAAAATCAATAAAAGAAATCAAATACATATAACATAATAATACGACATATATAAAAGGCACCCAAGGTGGCATCGAGGCGGCGTTAAAAGTTTTTTTTTTTAGGATAAGGGTGACAAGCGAGTGCACAGTTAACCTGATGGTAAGTGGTTGCTGTGGCCCATAGACAATCTACAGCCATCCTCGTTTGCGAATTCAAAATGCAGATACGTTGTCAGCCGCGAGGACTAAGATGGAATGCCTCTTTTCCAGTAAACAGGCTCTCCGATTCCCTACTCTCACCATACAAAACACAGCAGCATTAAGCTGCTATTTTACGCTGGTAATCTGTGAGAGCGTGGTTTTTCCCCGGTCGAGTCGACCCATTCGTGCTACAAACTATAAAATTAATATAGCTGCAGCATACCACGTATAAGTTACACCTTTAATGATAAAATTTGATTTTTTATCATTAAAAATTTGCAAATTGTATGTGGTTTTATTACCTCTGCATTATCAAAAGAGTAAGAAGATTATCAAAGACCCGTCTTTGCCGATGCTCGGGTCAGTTAGAGGTAAAAACCACAAAAACTTTGCAAATAAAATCTTATTTTAATGAAATAAAATTTTGTTGAAAGTGTCAAATTAATATTACATACATGTAACATACATATATACGTATACTCGGAAAACATTACCCACCTTATAGGGCGGTAAATTCCCGAATAATAAAAATATTAAAATATTTATGGGGTAGCCCGCTATAAGAAGTATTATATATTATATTATTATTATTATTTACTTATATATATATATTACTTATATATATATATATATTTATATATATATATATATATATATATATATATATATATATTAAGAGATTTCCACCTATGTACTGACTCATCACGATATCTCTGGAACCATAAACTTATTTTTGGAACTTATAAATTAACTATAGCTCCTACTGGTTTGACATTTATCGAAATTATTATTTTTGTCACCTTAAGTTCTACTGAGAACAAATTTTACGAAATTCCACTTACAAGTGGATTGCGGGGGAGCTATACTGAAAGTAAAAAAAAAAGATATTAATTGTAGTTCGGGCTATAATGAATAAAATAATTAAACTGTAGAATTATTTGTGTATATTTCATTTGGGTTCCAGGATAGTTTAAAAACTCAATTGTACCCGGTAGGTGGCACTGTTGTCAAGACCCAGAAATCATCTGTGCGAAGCCGGGGCGGATCACTAGTGTATTGTACAACAGTTTGTGCCAGTCATATTATGCCGATGTCGATTATCGAAATCAAATCACGTCTACAACAATGATCTTTATTATAATTTAACCAATAACTTTGCTGTTATAAGGTATAAAATATTTGCTAGATTATACTATATTTAACTTTTTCTTTTTTTTTCTTATGTTTGCGTCTTCCATGTTCCTCAAAAAACTTTTTATGTTGTTTTTAGTGCGAAAATAATTAAAATTATTTTAACGCATATCTTGAAGTCACGTTTTGAAGTTGGGATATAGTATGAATGAATGAATGAATATACTTTATTGCAAACAAACAAATTTACAAAGAACATATAGAGCAGTTAATTGTTTAGGTCTTGGAATTATGGCAAAGCTAGACAAAGCCCTCTCCCATTCCAGGGAAGACTTTCATTAATTGGAGATGTTTGGCAGACCGATTGGGGATCGCGATAACATACATTAGATTGACATTGCTCTTCGTCGCCAGTAATTGCGACTGATTTTGCGTGATCGCTTTCATGCTATTCTATGCAACCTATTTTTATTGTAATGTTAATTTGGGAAAAGTTCCGCAGGGTTCCTAGCTGTGTTTTTTTTTTTCGGAACAAAAGTAAAAATAATACTTTTATAAAATTATTTGAAATATTTGTCGAATAAAAATAATTCTTATATTGTTTATTCTCTTCTATTCTATTGTATTCTATTTTATTACACTATATTCCATTCTATTATTTTCTCTTCTCCCCTTATCCATTCTATTCTTTCTACTCTATTCTATTTCATTCTGTTCAAATCTATTCCATTCTATTCAATTCTGTTATATTCTTTTCCTTAATATTCTATTCTATTGTGCTCTATTCTAGTCTACTCTATTCTATTATTTCCTATACAATACAATTCTGTTCCCTTTGTTCCGTTCTATTCTATTCTACTAAATTCTAATTTATTGAATTCTGTTCTGTTCTATTCGTTTCTATTTCATTCTATTTTGTTTCATTCTATTCTGATTGAATGGAATCCGATGGAAACGCTACTGGGACTTGAAATTCAACTCACTGATAAATAGCAGTAAAAAGTTTCTAGCTTCAAGTTGATAATTACAAGCGTGAATTGAAAGCGAGTATATATTTTTATGTTAGGCCGAACAAAAACAGACTACTAGAGAAATCTCTATGACAATGGCAAATTTCGGAAAAGGGTATTACCCTTTTCCGAAATTTGCCATTGTCATAACTGTCTGGATTATAAAATATCCGACATCTCATTTTTCCGACGTAGGCGCGTTCTGAAGTTTAAAAGACCATCTATCGGTGGAAGTTACCAAGGGAAAATTGTTTATCCCTCACGAAAAATTCACTTATGTTGTTATCTCACACCGAATTTTATTTGTTAACATAAAACATATGAACTTCATTTTAATGTGATTATCAAAATTTCAATGACAATGGCAACCTAGGTGCAAAGCTGTAATCGAGCGAACGAGCACTGCGGTCTAATCGACCACTAGTGGCGTGTTAACGCGTCGCGTGACAGCCGCGCGTGCCGTTTGCTTTGTTTGTGATTCTTAAAAAACTTATTAAAACCGTCACAACTTATATACGTTTTGATCGGTATAAGGTAGTCTAGATTACCTGGCTAATACTCGTACTATTGGCGCGTGTGTATGAGTCTCAAACGGCTATACTTAATAAAGAAGATAAATACAAAAGGCCCAAAAATGTCAAAGAGTATATTTTTATAGAATAAGGGTGAAAAATGAGCACACAGTCAACCTGATGGTAAGTGGATGCTGTGGCCCATAGACATCGCATCATTTAGCCTTGATTAAGAATAAAAACTTAGATGCGTTGTCACCCCTGAGGACTTAGATGAAATGCCTTATTTTCAGTAAATAAGGGTCTCCGGATCTCTACACTCACCACACGAAACACAGCAGTATTAAGCTGCTATTTTACGCTGATATTCTGTGAGAGCATGGTCCTTCCCCGGTCGAGCCGACACATTCGTACTACAACCATAATATAGCTACAGCGTGGCTCTACCAAGTAGTAATTATATTATAGTATTAGTTATATTGGATTATTTTTAATTATCACCATAAACTTACTACGAGAAAGCGATGATGATGATAATTTGATATTTTTAAGTGACCCATCAATTATATTACATTAATTGATATATGTATATTTTGTATGTCACTGCTAAAAACCGAAGTGTGGTTACACCTAAATTTAGCCGGCCAAAATTAGATGCCTTCGATTGCGGTTGGATTAACTTAGGTGTATTCGATTTATTCAAGACTAATAAAGTAAGAGTCGCAGGTTGCTTTTCGGTAAAATTACGTATTGTAAAGTCCTAATAATAATTAAAATAACTACATATGACCAGTAGCGAATCTAGGGTTCCAAACTAGGGCAAGGCCAAGATATGGTTTTGTTGTTTTTTTGCAGTTTTATAAAAATATACCAATCTTGATCTGTCTTCAATCTTTAGTTTCATATTCAGT